CACAAAAGGTTCAAATTCGATTCGACTCGTGAAAAATGCTCAATGATTTTCAAAAACTACTTGGAGATATCGATTGGCTTAAGCCACAATTAGAAATTACCACAGGACAACTACAGGCTTTATTTGATATTTTGAGAGGAGATTCGGATCCCTCTTCTCCAAGAGAATTAACTCCTGCCGCTAAACAGGCTTTACATTTAGTAAATAAGGCTATGCAAAATACACGGGTCTATCGCATAGACCTCTCTCTGCCTTTGATATTAATAATTTGTTCAACTAAACCTCTTCCAACTGGAGTTATATGGCAGAAACCACGGCCAGTAGAATGGTTACATTTGCGTAATTCTGCTTCAAAAATTCTTAACCCTTGTTATGATTTAACTGATGGGGCAGAACGCACCACTGAAAACCCTGCCACGTTCATTGCCTTCAAAAGTCCAACAGTTTCTCTCCTGTGTGAACTCTTTGCCACCTTTTGAAGTCTTATGCTGAGAAAAGACTTTCCATGGTCATTATATTTCTGCCACCAATGAGCTCACTGATATGTGACCTTTGAAGCACTGATAGGGTCCGTCTTTCCACAAAAGGCTCTTCCAGTCTCTGTAATCAGGCTTGTCTCAGTATACACTTATCGGCCATATAATAAGCTAGGTTTTATTCAAAGGTTTTCCACCTTGATTGTATCACAGTTTATTCCTGTGTGACATAGAATATGACATAATTGGTCGCCGAAGGCACTACCACATCACTGCATTCATAAGGTTTCTCTGTGCAAATTCTATCTTCTGCTGATGGTGCACCTCTGGCACCTGGCTGTCGCATGATAGTCACGTTCCTATCTGCTAGAAACCCACTGATGTGTAATGAAGTCTGAGCTGCCACAGAAGACATCTGCACGGTCACTGTACCAACAGGGCTTTTCTCCTTTATATCGCTTGACTGTGATGAGCTGTGATTCTTACAGAATGAATTTTCCAACGTGACTGAACCTACATGTTTCTCTCTTGCATGTGGCATTCTCTTATGAGACAAAAGGCAGGACAAGTTGGAGAAAGCTTTTCCACAATCAGCGCACCGATAGGGTTTCTCTCCTGTACGAGTTCTTTGATGTCTATTGAGGCATGACTTATTTCTGAAGTCTTTCCCACAATCACTGCATGTATAAGGTTTCTCTCCTGTGTGAATTCTCCGATGCTTAATGAGATCTGAATTGTGTGAATAGGATTTTCCACATTCGGTACATACAAAGGGAGTCTTTCCAGTGTGAAATCTCTGATGTGCCATGAGGCAAGATTTCTGGCTGAAACCTTTCCCACAGTCTGTGCATACATAGGGCTTCTCTCCAGTGTGAGTTCGCTGATGTATAAGGAGATTGCCCTTCTGGATGAAGCCTTTTCCACATTCATTGCATATATAGGGTTTCTCTCCTGTATGTGTTCGCTGATGTACAATGAGATTGCTCTTATGAATGAAACCTTTCCCACAGTCACTGCATATATACGACTTCTCTCCTGTATGAGTTTTCTGATGGGCATTGAACTGAGCTTTACAGCGGAATGTTTTGTCACACTCCGTGCATTCATAAGGTTTTTCTCCTGTATGAGTTCTCTGATGTTCAATGAGCGTGAACTTTCTGGAGAAAGCTTTGTCACACAGACTGCATCCATGAGGCTTCTCTCCTGTATGAACTCTCTGATGGTTAATGAGCCGAGACTTCCTGATGAAGCCTTTTCCACATTCATCGCATAAATAGGGTTTCTCTCCCGTGTGTGTCTTCTGATGAGCCAGCAGCCGTGATTTCCTGGGGAAGGCTTTGTCACATTCGGTGCACTCATACCGTTTCTCTCCTATATGAGTTTTCTGATGTTCAGTGAGCCTGAACTTCCTAGAGAAGGCTTTCCCACATACACTGCATCCATGAGGTTTCTCTCCTGTATGAACACTCTGATGATAGATAAGGCGAGACTTCTTGATGAAGGCTTTCCCGCATTCACTGCATACATGGGGTTTATTTATCTTTTCAACTCTATGATGTTTAATAAGTTGTGAATTTCCACATTCAAGAATTTTAATTTCGGCACGAAACTGCTCATGCTTTGCATGGAGGAAGGATTTCATATCTCCATTAACCTTAACAGGGTTCTTTACTTCATAGCTTTCGTTCTGGTTGACAAAAGTTACATTTGGTTTCAATGCTTTCCCGTGTAAATCAAACATATTATGATTTTGCTTTAAAGGAAAATTGTTTTTACGCCGATGAACAATGTTTCCAAATGCATTATGTTCATGGTATTGTCCCATTCTCTTTAGACATCTTTGATTTTGCAAGTGCCCCTGTAAATGCACGTTATCTTTCTGGATTTCTAGGAAAAAGAGAATAATGAATCTTTCCATGCGCTTGGTATAGAATAAATATCATAAACAGCTCTGTGTAGGCTGGCTCTTTATTTACAACACTATGATCTCGGTTTCGAGAAACTCCAAGTAAGTATGTTTGTTATCACTTGAACAAAGGTAAAATGCAATAAAATAAACAAAGGTAAAAACAATATATCAACAAGATTAGTTCATTCAAAATGAGCAAATACAGAATTGCTTGCTTTCTAAATGTGACCTTATAAAGCATGCTGAGGTAGTAAAATAAAATCAAGTTACTATTCGCACTAGACCACAGAGATATTTGTTTCAAAATGATGTGGGACACATTCATACATCCAGAAATCCTTACTAAATTATGACTATGTACCAAGCATTGTGCTAAAGATGAAAATAGAGAAACATTCCTTTTTTTCATCGAGCATGCATTCTGCTTAGGGAAAACCGAACAAAAATGCACTGATGAAGAAGGCAGGTACAAACCGTGGTTTGAGGGAGCAATGGAGAGCAAAGTGTTAGAAATCAGGATATAATCTGGAGAAAGACAAGACTTTCCCATGGTTTCAACACTGTGTGATGAATAAACATGAGGAATAATGGATTATTCCTAACTACTTGACCTGGGCCACTGGATAGGTCGGCAGTGCGTTTTAATGAGATGGGGACTATTACTGAAGTTTGCAATGTGGGGAAATCAAGTGTGCATTTCAAAGTATACAGACCTTCAGATGGGTTTTATATTACCAATACAGGCATGAAAAGCTTAACTGGGTATAGATGTTTGAGAATGGTTTTAACCACTCTATCGTTAACTATCTTATCATTAGTATATAAGTATTATATAAGGACAGAGAACTGAATGAGATCATGTTCAGAAAAATGTGTAGACTGAAGGAAGATGAAAGCAAGGGACTATATTTATAGTTATTGTAACATTAAGAGTGTGGCTTTTAAAAAGCCCACTGAGAGGCGCCGAACACTGTCTGTACTGATAAGGGAAATAAGCATTCATATACTCAGGAAACTACAAGGGTTTTAGAAGCTCTGTGCCAGGAACTGGGGCCAAAGACCAAACACATATTTCTTATATCACAACATCACACTAGGGAACTGTCACCTTTTCCAGTCATACTTTGCCCTTGTACACATGTAATATTTAAAATATTTCCATTTCCATGCAATGATCTCCAAACCCACCTTGCCAATAACGGCAACTTCTTTCAAAATCCTATACAAACAACTTGGTTTCCATCATTTAAAGAGTCCAAAATATCACAATTCTGATCCCAGACCGAGAGTTTTGGCAGTTAGTTTTGCCTTCCACTTGTCTTTTCTAGGATAGAGAAGAATGTTTTCTAGAACTACTGGATGTATTTTACTATTGCTACAATACTGGCACCCAGTTAAAAAGTAAGACTACATATCCAAGGATAATACAAGTCAAACTTCCAACTCCACCATTCTACCTCGATTTCTAACAAAGTCTATAATAGTTAAGCCTGGATAAAAGTTATATTACCCATGATTACCCCATTTATCCATGCTCACACTCCACTGGTTCCCCTACAAATACCTTCTCAAATTGGCTTTCATGTGGCCAGCTTCAGACCAATTTTTTGACAGTCCCCACAGGGCCCTAGATATTTCCAACTTCACACCTTCATCATCTTTATTCAAATCCTAGTCATTCTATCATTTCCCTATCCTATGTCACTATAAGCTGTTTCCCCGAAATTTCTAAAGTATTCCCCACATCTTTACTCTTCATTTTGACAATTAACTTCACACGGTCCTGAACTTTAGCAAAAGATGCTTCATTTGAAAGCTGTACTTCTACAGATTACATGAAGATTTCTCCTCCAGTTGTTACTAAAAAGTTACTCCTAGAATGCTTTAGTTCTCACTAAATTCAATCCCTTCTAGCACATAATATGACTGTCATTCACCAAATGCCTCCAATGGCCAACTTACAGCATTACATGTAGACTAGTCCAGGTTGTCACCACAAATCTAACAAAACACTCTCAAAAGAAGAGGCCTTGAAACCACGCATTTAACAAATATTCTTTCTGATTGCTAGCTGTCCAAGGTTCTTCTTAATCTGTACTCACGCCACAGGAGATCTCACTCAGTTCGTATTTCTACCTCTAGTCCTATACTCTCCCTGAATTCCTTGGACGGAAAATACTGGGGAGACGCCTTTAAATATAGTTGGCTCTGAGTTTAGGGAAAAGAAAGGAAGTTCTGTATACATAAGGCGATATCATATCATGGAGGCTGTTGACAGAAGCGAAATTTCCATCGTATACAGCTGGTAATATGATTAACTGGGACTTCGGGTCATCAGACTATCACGAGGAAAAGGAGGAAAGCTTTCAGGGAAAGAATCCAGCAATATCATTTAAGATAAACTAAAATAATGATCAGAATCAATGATTATACAAGGAAATAAAAGCTAAGCAGGCATGAGGTTTAATGATATGTTTTGGTCAAGAACAGAGAGTGAAAAATTTTTAAGAAATCAATAAGAACAGCAAAGATTTTAAATGAGGGAGGTGAGGAAGCAGAGAAGCATCTAGGAGAAAACACATTTCGCCTGCCCCTGGTTCCTGGCACAGAGCTCCTGACACTGATCATTTCCTAAGTGGTAAAAGCACTAGGTGCATCTTTTGTATAGAAGCTTCAAGCCCTTTCCCCATACCTTGCCCCATTCACCTCTTCTATCTGGCTATTCCTAAGTTATGTCCTTTAATAATAAACTGATAATCTCAGTAAAATGTTTCTCTGAGTTCTGTGAGCCATTCTAGCAAATTGATCAAACCCAAGTTGGGAGTCTTGGGAATGTCTGATTTATAGCAGGTTGATCAGAAGTGCGTGTGACAACCTGGACTTGTTATTGACAACTGAAGTGGAGGCAGAGACAATCTTGCAGGACTGAGCCCTTAACCTATGGGATCTGACACTACCTACAGGGAGCTAGTATTGGAATTGAGAGTTAAACTGTAGGATACCCAGTGGGTGTCACAGAGAATTACTTGTTGTGGAGAAGAGCCCTCAGACATCTGGTGTCAGATGTGTTGAGGAGGGCTGGAATATATAAATGACACAGTCAGGATATATGACAATAATAAAAGGTACTATAGACTTAATGTGTATGTCTATAATTCGTCCCCCAAAATTTATACATTGAAATCCTAACTCCCAGTCAGAAATGGGTGGGGGTGGATGTTAGGAAGGGAAATTACCATTATCCAAAGGGGCGAGAAGGTACAGTAGTCAGAAGACAGTGCTAAAATCAAACATCTCTTCTTGGAGAGAGGCATGTAAGGTGGAATTTCAGAGCAAGAAAAGCAGAAGCGACGGCGTTGGGGGAGGAAGGATGTTAACATTTGAGAATTCTAAGATACCTAGAAGGGAAAACAATCGAGACCTAGATGAAATCAACAGGGATCAAATTCAAGAGATGTGTCCTTCTACACACCTAAAAGATTAAGAGCTCTCTTGTGAGAGATCGGTGGGGGCTCTGTTTACATGTCCTGAGAATCCTTCACAGATGTAACACCTCTGAATGACTAGAACATGACTTCCGCCTCCCTTGCTCATTCTCTCTCACTCACCTGGACAGATTCGACTGTGGACTTCATCTTCTACTGCCCACGGTTCTCCTTGTTCCAATCTGGAGAGAGCATCCGGCTTGCTAACTTGATACCCTGTTCGTGGGAAGTGACAGAAGAGGCAGGCTCTTTGAATTGGGCTGTGGTCTGCCAACATAGAAGAATGTTATATTTTAGGAACTATGTAATTTGTAGGACAGCAAAGTAAAGGCACATTATACCCTCTACTTTGGAACCAGAGAGGGTACTGAGAATCTGCCACTTCGGAGCACCACAGACACTCCAAAACTTTCTAAAGCTGAGAATAAAAAGACCACTGACTGAGGACTCTCTGAGTGACACCGGGCAGCTGTCCTCACCTACTGACACCAGGTTGCTGTAGTTCTCCGACATCACGTCCCGGTACAGGTCCTTCTGATCGGGGTCGAGGAGCTGCCACTCCTCCCAGGTGAAGTCCACAGCCACGTCCTCCAGTGTCAGTGGTTCCTGTAATAACACGGTCCTGCTTAATCTGTTTCTCTAGTTACTGAAAGAGAAGGAATGTGAAGGAAATTGTTCTGCTCATTTCTACCATATAGGTTACATCTCCCAACTTAAGTATTTTGATTTTTTTTAAAAACTAGATTATTAAAGAGCCAAAATCTATCCATATCCATATTCAAGATCAACCTCTAGCAAAATATTCTGGAATCATGCAGTCAACTATCACTCAACAAATAAAAAAATCTATTTAAGTCATTAAATTCTCTTGCTGAACTAGATTTGCAAAATATATATTTGAAGCATTTCTTCCCCCCTTTGGAAGTAGGCACATATTTGCCAGGCATTAAATATATTCTAGTATATCAGGATGAATAAAACCTATTACTACATTCACCATCAATCTTGATAACTATTGTCAGAATAAACCATGAAAAAATCCAGATAAACATGCTACATATTAAATTAGTATATTTTTATATGTTAGGAGGAATAAAAGCATCTTTCCAAAACATATCCAAAGAACAAGAGACTACTAGAAATCATTTAGGAGACTAAAAAAGTAAATAGCAACCTTCAGAAAGTATATAAACACAGTCACATGCCACATAACGACACTTCAGTCAGTGATGGACTGCGTACACAACAGTGTTATACCATACAGCTCAGGTGAGCAGTACCTTACACCATCTAAGTTTGTATAAGGGCACTCTACGGTGTTCACACAATGAAGAAGTTGCTTAGTGACACATTTCTCAGAATATATCTCTATCGTTAAGCAGAGCATGGCTGTATGTACATATAATTTATATTTACATTATCAGGTAGGTTCACAGTATATTAGATACACTGAAAAAATAATGAACTAGAAGGCAGATCTCAGAAGAAATTACTCAAAATGCACCAAAAGGCCATAGCAATGGAATATATAAATGAGAGAATCATAAATATACAGGCTATGGTGAGGGCTGACAGTTATCAATCCAGTTTATGAAAGAGTAAACATCTATCACACGGGAAGGCACTACCCAAAGGTCTAAGGGCTGCGATAGATACATCTGTAATTATCTATACAGACATAGAGGTACACACAGGTACAGTGACAGGAATACACACTACTGCCCACTTGTCACGCTGTACTAGGGGATTAGGAAAGAAACATAAAGAGTATCTTACTTTTTTACTACATATGCTTTGTAATCGCTGAAGTTTTAAAAATGTATCCACTGCAATAACATGGATGGACGTAGAAGGTACTATGCTAAGTAAAATAAGTCAGACAGAGAAAGACAAATATCATATGATTTGACTTGTACGCACAATTGAAAGAACAAAATAAATGAACAAATAAAGCAGAAACAGACTCATAGATACAGAGAACAAAACTGATGGTTGCCAGATAGAGGGGATTGGGGGGCTGAATGAAAAAGGTGAAGAAATTAAGAAGTACAAATTGGTAGTTACGAAATAGATACGGGGCTATAAATAAAGTACAGCACAGAGGACACAGTCAATAACGTTGTAATAACTGTATGGTACCAGGTGGGTATCAAATTTATCAGGAGGATTGCTTTGTAAATTATATAAATGTCTAACCACTGTGCTATGCACATGAAACTAATATAAAATAGTACTAAATGTCAACTGTAATTGAAAAGTAAAATTGAAGAAAAATTGAAGAAAACGGAAAAAAAAACCCAAAAATGTAGTCTACGGCCATGCCATCCTGAACGTGCCTGAACTCGCCAGATCTCGGAAGCTAAGCAGGGTCGGGCCTGGTTAGTATTTGGATGGGAGACCACCTAGGAAGACCAGGTGCTGTAGGTATTTAAAAATAATAACAATAATAAAATAAAAAAATGTTTAAATAAATACCCCCCCGCCCCCAAAATGTATCCAATACATTCAAATAAATTTTCATAGGCAATAAAAGAGGCAGTAGGAATTGGCTTTGAACACAGGAAAGGAAAGTGTTGTTTTAGAGAGAGGACGTTTTAAAGTAAATCCTCTGGGACCCCAACAACCTTGGCAGACGACAGTACTTTCAAATCCCTATTTCCGACCCTGAACTCAAAAACCAGTTCAGCCACCTAGTCACACAGGACCGCTGACGTCATGCAATCCTTCCATTTTCTTAGGTTATCTAGGTTTTGTTTCTAGATTAACCCTGGCTGCTGCAAGGCTGGGTCCATGGGTCACCCTACTATGGTACCATGAAAAACTGTGCCTGCTGAGATCTCATACTCTATTCTCAAAGAAGACTCTGAGGAGCCCTGTTTTGGCATTTACGAGAAAGCTGAAGTTAAGGACACTGTCTACCATCTTTAGAAGAAACAACAACAAAAAATGTCCTATCACCTAAGTGTCGGGAAACATTTACATCTTCTAAGGAACCGATGTGCTTTCTCCTCAGAGTCAGTACACAGCCTATCATCATCATGATCATCTCTGGCTGTGGCAGCTGTCAGAGAGATCACACAGAAGGTGACAACTAATATAACCCATAGGATGCTCCAGTCACATGATGTTCCAACATTAGTCACTTAGTGCAGATTCCAGAAAGAATAAATTCCTGATCCTACTTTGCCTTGATGTTGGACTCTAAATTTATTTATGCACAAACCCTACTTTACCAATTTAGACTTCTCTCTTTAATTTAATTGTGTTCGATTGCTCCCGAAATCAAACACAGAATGAAAGAATGAAACAAACTAAAAGTCACCTGGGCCTGAATCATTTTCTTCTGTGACTGGGTAATGGCCACTAATGAGGATGCTGTGTCTTTAGTCTCTTCTTCAATCGCCTTAAATCTCTGGTTAGAACTCTTAAGTCTCCAGTCAGTGGTGTCCCCACAAATGACAACATTCAGGTCCTGAAATCTTTTCCTCACTTCAAATGATGTATCTGGTTCCTGGAGCCAGGACCTGTGGGCTGAAAAGTAAATTCGCTTTGAGTGTACATTTTCTCTGGGCCCAGATGTTGTCACTGCTGTCACTCACCTGATTTCAAGGCCATCTATTCCTTTATTTGAAGCTCCAGAAGCTCTGGAGAAATAAAACATAAGATCGTGAATGCGTGAACGGGTATATCATTCTTCTTGAAGTGGGATGACTGGGAAAGGGAAGATAGAAAAGCAGAACCAGAACAATAAGATGCCCCTGCGGCAGGGGACTTCTCACCCAGATCAGCTTTTGCAAAGAAAACATAGAAAAAGTGAGGACCTGGACATCTATTTCTTAGAAACTCTATGTGCTCATGTCCCTGTTCAGAAGTCTTTGTACATGTCATATAGAAACATACCTCAGTGTGACGACAAATGTATCTAAGCCAAGTATTACCCAACAGACCATTTTCATTAATCATTATGTAAAAGAAACAAAGGAAAACCAATAAAAAAAAAAAAATTGAAGCATATAGACCAAGCCTATTACTTGTAGGTACGTACACACTTAGTAAAAGTAGAAAAACACGTGTTATATAAAGCAAGTTCAAGAAAGTGGTTTTCTGTGGGGAGGGAAGGCGGGGTGGGCTAGAGGATGTTGTGGAGAGTGGACTGTAAGCTGACAAGGTCATGATAAGATGTGGCTTTGGGGAAATAGAAGAAAGTGTTGTTATTCTTAAGGGAAACCGCTTATGCCAGCGATGGTATGTTCTTATATAAAAGCACCTTGCAAAAATAAAACTGAGTCATTGTTCCATCCTAATCCCAGTTTTCTGTCTTCTTTCTTTTCTAAATCTCCCACTGTTCCCACTCAGGTCTATTTTCCAGGGCTGCGCTGGACATGGCAGAATTTAGCACTTGCTGAACGCGGCAGATATCACATAAGTTGCACCTGCATCACTTTATAAAAGTACCAATGATCTATATATGTGTGTGTGTGTGTGTGTGTGTATATATACATATACATATATATGCATATATATATGTATATATACACACACACATATATATGCATATATATGCATATATGCATATATATGTATATATATACATATATATGCATATATATATGTATATATGCATATATATATGCACATATATATATACACACACACACACATAAAATCATGTACATGATGTAAGAAAATCCCAGTGAGTGAAAATGGCAGTGTAAGCAGCTCCAAAGGCCCATCCCACCACGACATCAAAAAAATCAAGTGAAAACTGTCAGCATAAAACAAAGAAAAAACTTGGTCAGAATTCTGTAAAGCAGTCAAAAAAGCAGCAACAGAATGAGCACTGAATCAAAAAAAAAAAAAAGAAAAGAAGAAAAGAAAAAAAGAAAAAAGAAAGAAGGAAAGAAAAGAAAAAAAAACCTTAAAAACCACAGGAAAGCTCTGTGCCAATTTGCTTGTAGTAAAGATGGCAGTCATCCTTCCCAGTGTGGGACCCTGGAAGGACCAGAGCAGACCTTATTCAGAAAGAACTGAGTCTGTCTGTTCAAACCTGTCTGGGGCCAAACTGAAGAACTGAGGCAACGTGCTCATCTCTGCTCCACCGAATCTGGAACTCACTCAGGGAGAAAAAGCAGCAGGCAGTTCTCAAAAGCATTGTAAGGAGAACGAATCCGCAGCAGCCTGCAGCAAAAGATTACAGCTGAGGCACAGCTGAAAGTTCACAGGAAAAGCTGGGGAAAAAATTTCTTTGGGAAATCAGGCCACTCGAGAGCATCGGTCAACTGTATAAAGCCATGTACCTGTACAGGGCAGGATGCCTGCTCAGAAGAGATTCAAGAAGACCCTAAGCTTTTCCGCTGGGTGACCTCTACACTCCGTGCAAGCAGGAAATGAAGGCTAAGGTAGAGCTGTAAATAGCCTGGCTAAGCACTGAAGGAGCACGCCAGGACACGACACACAACCACGAACACATTATACTAAGCGAAAGCAGCCCGACACAGAAGTTAACATATTGTATGATTCCACCATATGAAATACTCAGAATAGGTAAATGTCAGAGTCTGGGGGAAGGAAGAATGTAGAGTGACTGCCTAATGCATGTAGGACTTGCTTTGGGGATGATGATAACGTTCTGGGACCAGACAGGTTGCACAATATTATGAATGTGCTAAAAGCCGCTAATTGTTGACTTTCGATTGTAAATTTTAAGTTTTGCGAATTTCATCTGAATTAAAAAAATCAAATACATCTGACATATGTCCAGTGAAATGATATAAGTAATTTTTCCAAAGCTGAGAGCAAGACGAGGATGGGCAGTATCACCAGCATTATCTATAACTATTCTGGAAATGCAACCCCACTAACTTGATATAGAACCGAGTAAGAATAATCAACATTAGAGAAGAGGAAGCAAATTATAAGAAGTTCCCCAATATGAATAAGCAAAAGTAAGAGTTCCAAAGATTTGAGTGAACATATATCAAAACTAAGTTTTTAGTCACCTGAGTACAGAATTTATATCTAAAAATTGATAACATTCCAAAACACATGCTCCTTACAGCAGTGCAACATGACTCAATATTTGGGGGGAATAGTTTAACATTTTGTACTGAATACTTTCAACAGAGGTATTAGAATCCAAAAAACCCGCTTCTAGGAATTTTTGCAACGAAAATAATGGCATACACGTCAAAGTTGATGTAAAAATATTATTTAGGTCTATTAATGGAGGCTTAATTGAATGAAGAAAAATACACACACCTAATGAAATACTATGCAGCTATTAAAAATGCTAACAATCTATTTAGAGAAAAGATGTCTGCCTCAAAGTTATGTATCACAGAAGCACATAAAAAGGTGTTCAGAGAAATGCATAGCAAAACCGGAAATGAGCTACTATGGCTTCACATCCCCTAAAACAGCTTTAATAAAAACATGAAAATAACACGTGTTGGTGAGTATTTGGAGGAACTGAAATCCTCATAGGATGCTGATGGAAACGTAACACGGTGCAGCCCCTCTGCAAAAGTCTAGTGGTTCCTCAAATGATTAAACACATTTATGACCAAGCAATTTCACTCCAGGCTTTTATCCAGAAGTAAAAGCACGTCCAGACAGGCACCAAGGCCTGATCACTGACTCTGTCTGAATCCTTGATCTCGACAGGCCTTTTGTCACTGGCAACTAGAATAACTCGGCTGCAAAGGCGCCCCAGCCGAAGGCACCCCAGCCACCGACTCCCGCTTGCTTCCTCTCCCCCCAAGGATCCACGGCTCCCCCCACACAGCCACCCAGACACCTGAGTCCTCTCATTCTGTTCCACGGTGCGCGCCACACGCAGGGTTTTCCCAAAAGGCAACCGCAACCTTCTGAAACCTGCATTTCCGTGAATTGTTTTCCTTGCGCGTCCTCGCCCAACCTCCCCGCCAGCCTACGTATGCCGGCAGAAAAGGGTCCGAGTCGCCACTGCGGAGCACGATCGCCGGAATTTCCGGTGGTTCCGCGAAGGAAATATGTCTGCGCCCGTCACGGATCTAGGGGGCGGCCATCTTGCCACACTGACGTACAGACGGTAAAGGGTCCGATTTTGTTGGAATACCCAGGGAAGGCTCCGAAAGTTCCTAATTTCCTGGCAACTTGAAATCCTGCGCCGCAAACTGCATTGATTTTTAAGAAGTTCAAGGTCACATAAGACATAGACGGCGTGGGCTACGTTCACTCTAACAGGCCGGGGAGAAAAGTAATCCAGTTTGCATAAAGCGAGATTTGGAAAGGACACTGTGGGCGCAGCCATCTTAGAAGGTATCCGTACAGAACAAAAACATGACTTTTTAGCGACGATAAAAGAGCAAACGTACAGATCGAAAGGCAAATATTCCTGAGAACGCTTCTTGCTAAATGTGGAGGGCAAGAGGAAGATTTTGGTGATAGAAAAGGGTCTTCTACTCACATTATGGGAAAAATAAATTTGAAAACCTAGCTTGCTTTTGGGGTTAGGACATGGTTACCGCCTGAGGGGTTGGGTGGGAGTGGATAGCCTTGTTGATTCTCTTTGACGTGACAATTCCAATTCTAATAATTTCTTCACTAGAAATTATATGTGAAAATAGAGTTGACATAAAGTCTGCACAGAAATTTCTACTAACAACTTCTATTCTTCTATTCCTCCCCATTTCATCATATTCCACCTAGGTCAGGAACATTGGCTCTCCCTCTAGCTCTGTCCTACCACTAGCCCTCTCACCTTTCACCCTGGAGCTGTCGCCTTACCTGCACCACCAATCCTGGCTGGAGAAGATATTGTTACAGAACTGTTCCAAGAGAAGACTGGTGAGAAACCAAACACCACTCAGAGACTTGGACAACTCAGGTTTATTC